AAGGATAATTTTGGTACTTTTTAAAGATAAGGGACAATTTTGGTGCCAAAGTGATAAGTTAAGGGACTAAAATGGTACTTAAACCTAAAATATGTGATACGAAGTTACTATGGCCAGAGCCGAAGTAAAATATGTGACACGAAGTTGCTATGGCCGTAGCTGAAGTAAAATACTTATAGTAAAACTGAAAAATTTTATTATGAAGGGGAATGAACTAGGCTTAGTGGGATTTGTTAAAGAGGGCTGACATAGGGTTAATGTGTGGCGTGACAGCTATCTATCGAAAGATGTGTACAATAAATACGGGTCGTAAAAAAGTAACTGCACAGTTAAGTGAACGGGATAGGAAATGAACAGTCGAATCCCAAAGATTTCCCTTGGGGATTAACTGTCGAATTTGAAACGATGTAACCATGACCGTTAGATGAAATTAATCAGAGCCGTTGAGGCGTATATTTCCTTTGGTATATAAAGCTATACTTCTGTAAAAAGAGTTTTACTTTCTCCGTATTTGCTACTAAAGTGCTGCCAAACTCTCTATAGTGTTTGTGTGAGTGATTTGCATGACACATTTTCAACTTCAAAACTCGTTCTATACTATCGAAATCAAGTAAATTATGAACTTTTGTAGTTCGAGTTCTAGTGGTGAATTTTATTCTCCTCTCACCCTTTCTGATTTAGATTTAAGCCCTTTTTAAGAGGTTAGGGTTAAGAGCGAGAGTGATATTGAGCGTGAGTTAGAGTTTTTTGAAGATCCTGACTACATCCCTCCCCCTACTCCGTGCAGTGAAAGTTATGAGACTGAGGAGATGTCTTTTGAGGAAACACTGAGCATTGGGGGGAACGAGGAACTAAGGATGTTGGAGTACAGTGATATAAGCATTGAGGGTGAATCGTCTGGGTCTGAGCGGACAGAGGGAGGGGTAGGGAGAAATGAGGTTGTTGAGGTTGGGGCAAAAGAGGTGCCTGTTAATATATTGGAAGTGGGAGATAGGAGTGATAAGTGTTACGATAGTGGGGCAAACATTGTGTCTAAGGTGAAGGGGTATGAGTCTGAGTTGTGGAGTAGGGATAGCCTGAGTTATCTCGTAGAAAGCTACGAGATCTCTTCTAGAGTGTTAATTAGGCTTGTTGGAGTGAAAGAAAGGGCATGCTCTACACCCAAGGATCATTGGATGCTAGTGTATGCCCATTACTTGGCTGCAGGGCTTAGGTTTCCTTTACCTGATTTGTTGGTGTGGCTGCTATTAGAGTATAGTGTGGGTTTAAACCAATAATCTCCCAATGCAGTGAAGGTGATAATTGGGTTTGTAGTTTACTGCCGGGCTAGGGGGGTTAGGGTGCCCACAGTAAACAGGTTTAAGCACTTTTTTGTGCTAAGGCTGGGAGTAGGAAGTAGAAGGGGTGGTATTACTTTACATCTCGGTCGTCCAACAAAGAGAAAAGAAACCTGTTTAGTGCAGGGCCTTCCTCCATTAAGGGATGGAAGGAAAAAATTTTCTTTGTTGATGACACCGAGTAGGATAGGGGAGATGCGGAGGTGGAGTTCCTTTCTACCTGGAGGGCTAAAAAGGCCAACCAGAATAAATATAGTTTAAATAGTGATGAGGAGGAAGAAGTAGAGAAGCTGGTGAGAAGGGAGGGTGACATAATAGATATTATGTTTCTCACCAACTCGGATGTTATAGAAGCGGCTGAGCTTTATGGACCGAGCGCACTGAGCGAAGGCGTGTTGGTGTCTTGTGTGATGTGTGTGAAAGTTGATTTTTGATTTGTGGATTTTAACGAACTTGCTGTTTTGTAGCTGAACTGGACATGTTTCTTAGTGCTGCTGGTGGGGTGGCTATTCCCAAAAAGCCAAGGAAGAAGTCCCAAGCTTTGGAAAAGGCTGTACCTGGGAAAGGAGATGGATACCTGGGAAAGGAGATGGATACCTGGGAAAGGAGATGGGCACCTGGAGAAAGGGCAGTTGTCAAGCATAGAACCCCAAGCTACAGAGGAAGTGGAGCTAAGGTCCAAGAGGAAAAGGGATGAGGTGGATCAAGCTCAGAAGAAAAAGAGGAAGATGGAGGAGGTCAGGGGGACGGGGTAGTGGAGTTCGTACCTCAGCCTACACCTGTTGAGCTTGATCCTGACCTCAAAGAGATCGAGGTCCCTGCCTTTGGCAAGGGTAAAGCGTTTGTTCATGCGCCTTCTCTCCATAGCAGCATTTTTGGGAGCAAGAACTTCTCCACAGTGAAGAATTTCATCAACGCCTACATGCCTGAGATGGATCGCCGTGAAGCGGAAGGAAGAAGTCTTGCTGCATGGATAGACCTCAGTTGTGAGGCATGCTCTGGAGGTAAGTTTAATGATTGTATTTGTTGTTTTTTTTTTTTTTTGATTGAGTTATGTTGATGTGACAGACTGTAACTTGGGTTAACGCGCTAGCCCAAGAATTCCTAGAGTTGGTGAAGGAGCGCAACAGCCTGCAGAAGGAAAGGGATGAGCTGTTGAAGAAAAACGGTGAAATGAAGAGGGAACTGGATATCGTGGTACCAGTAGTGACAAGCTTGCAAGAAGAGAGAGATACACTAAAGAAAATTCTCTCATTCGAAGAGAAGAAAAGGAGAATGTGCGAAGAAGAGAATGACGCATAAGAGGAGGAAATAAGAAGAATGAGAGAATCCGAGGTGGAACTCAAAAAGAATGTACAACTGTTGGTCCACAATGGGATGGAGGAGCATATCGGCAACTTTATCAACTCCAGCACATTTGACAACATCGTCAATCTTTACTGGCTGCCGACTGCAATCCTCGCCTTCATTGATTGCAAAAAGAAGGTCAAGACTGAGTATCTCGAGGTGGATATCACCAAGATCACCTTCGGCGAGCAAGAGGAAGGGGTGGAGAAGAACGACGAAAGCCTATCAGCAGATTTCCGACCTCAGGTTAAGCTGAGGTGGGATCATGATGAAGAAGGACACATTGTTTTTCCTCCCAACTTCGACTTCGAGTTCGTAGCAGTGGAGGAGGAGGAAGGAGAAGTAGAAGGAGTTGAAGTTGAGAAAAGTTAGCCATCTTGTCCCGTAGAGGTGCATCCAGTTCCCTCAAAAAAAGAGCAACCACCTCTCTCAGCAGAGCAAGAGCCACCACAACCACCTCCACCAGTGGAATAGCTTAGGGATTTTTTACTTTAGTAGTTTTTGATTTTTCTTTTTTTGAGAACGTTGAAACAATTGTAACTTTTATTATTTTTTAATGAAAAATTTTTTGTTGATAATTATGTGTTCTACTTGTTTTACATTTTGGTTGTTTTATGTTAATATAAGAACTAAGATAGGGTAAATTACTTTGGATGTGATTTGAGGGGAAGTAAATGACTTCCGAGATGAAATAAAGAGAAGAAAATCACTTTAGAGATGAATTGAAAAGAAGTAAATCACGTTAGAGATTAACTGAAAAGAAGTTAATCACTTCGGACATGAACTAAAAAGAAGTAGATCACTTCGTATGTGAAGTGACATTCATTAATAAAAGTGAAAGTCAAGAAATAAATTCTAAACAGATTGACCTCGAATATACAGAATAAGAGATAAAATAAATCTCAACAATCAAGAAGTAATAAGTATAAAGGAGAATAAGACATAGATCACTTGAAAGAAGTTTATTAGGGATAAAATTTCTTCAAGTTATTGACATTCCAGACTTTACGAATTTGCTTCCCTTCAGCGTCTTGGAGGACATAAGCACCAGGATGTGGCACTTTAGCCATTGTGTAAGGGCCTTCCCAGTTTGGGGCTAGTTTGCCAAAACGAGTTTCAAACCCTGTTAGACCTGCCTTTCTGAGAACAAGGTCTCTTATTTTAAATGTTCGAGGGCAGACCCGTTTGTTGTAGAAGTTGGCTAATTTTTGCTTGTATACAAGAGTTCGAAGCCATGCTTCTTCTCTGACTTTGGTAAGCAAATCAAGGTTTTCCCGAAGTAGTTGTCCATTTCGTCCTTCATTGAAATGGGTTACCCTGAAGCTTGGGACTCCTATTTCAATAGGAATGACTACTTCGATACCAAAGGCTAGGTGGTAGGGTGTTTCACCTATTTCATAAAATTATAATCTTTAGAATATGCTTTACATTTTGTGCATATTTGATCTAGGGTAAAGGTGTGGGTGAGAAAATAAAAGTTGAATGAAAGTAGCTTAAGTTGGAAATAATACCTGTGGTAGTTCGACTCATAGTTCTATATGCCCAAAGGACGTTGTTGAGCTCATCTGCCCACCTGGCCTTGTGCTGTTCCAACCTCGGCTTTATTCCTTCTAAGATAGCGTTATTAATAGATTCTACCATACCATTAGACTCTGGATGGTAAACCGAGGTGAACTATAACTTGATCCCGTAACTGGAGCAAAAATCTCGGAAAGAGGAGCAGTTAAACTGAGTACCATTGTCAGCATCAATCTGGTTCGGGATCCCATACCTGCAGATACTTGAGCCAAAAACAAAGTCTTCAACCTTTCTGGAAGTAAGACTGGATAACGGCCGAGCTTCAACCCATTTCGCAAAATAATCGACTCCAACAACTAGATGGGTTACACCTCCAACCCCCTTCATGAATGGGCCCAAAAGATCAAGTCCCCACTAGGCAAATGGCCATGGTGCTACCAAGTTCGTGAGCTCTTCTGCTGGTTGGCAAATCAAATGTGCGAAGAATTGGCACTTCGGGCATCTCTAAACAAAATGAGTAGCACCTTTATACATATTTGGCCAGTAATATCCCTACTTTATGACTTTGTGAGCAAGGGTTCTGGCACCAATGTGGCTCTCACAGACACCTTCATGCACCTCCTAAAGTGCGTACTCAGCTTCATAGGGATTCAAGCATTATAAAAGAGGGAGTGAGAAAGATCTGTTATAGAGGACCCCATCGATGAGTGTATATAGAGACGCTTTCTTCCTCAACCTCATTGCCTCTTGCTTGTCTTCAAGCACTATCTCGTCTTGTAAAAAGGAGATAATTGGGTCAGTCCAGCTTGGTGTGTCCGAGTTTGTGCTGATCTCCATCATTCGTGGCTTCATGAAGCTTGGTTCATCTAAGACTTCTACAAAAACTGACCTGGAGCTTAAAGAGCTATCAGAGGCGAACTTAGTAAGTGAATCTGCTTGTTCATTCTCAGTTTGGGGAATTTTGTTCAGACAGAATTTCTAGAATTTGTACTTCAGCTCGGCCACCAGGGCTACATATTTCATCATCACAAGATCAACGACTTCACAGATTGAGTTGACTTGATTAACCACAAGCTGTGAGTCACTGTACATTTGTATCACCATGACCTTCAACTCCAATGCTAGTTGCAAACCAAGTAGCAGAGCTTCATATTCAGCCATGTTGTTTGTTGCATCGAAGTTAAATTTCAGAGCATGCTCACTTCGGTATCCATATGGGCCAATTAAGAGAGCACCAGCTCTTGAACCCTTGCTACTAGATACTCCATCAACATATAAGGTCCAGTCGTTGGGCTCGGGATTAGGGGTTGAGTGAGATAGGGCGCACTCCACAATGAAATCTGCCAATGCTTGAGCTCAGATCGTGGATCTCTGCTGAAATGTTATCTTGAATTCCCCCAATTCTACTGCCCACTTAATTAACCTTCCAGAACACTCTAGCTTTTGAAGGATCTTTCGAAGAGGTTGGTTTGTGAGGACGATGATTGGATGTGACTAGAAGTAAGGCCTTAGCTTTCTAGCCAAAGTGACAACTGCTAGTGTTGTTTTCTCAGCAATAGGGTACCTTAGCTCAGCTCTGCTCCGTGTAGCACGCTGCTGATATACTAGATTGGTTTTTTTTGTTTGGCTTCTTCTCTCATCAGAACTAAACTAATCACTTCGTTTGAAATTCCAAGGTACAAATAGAGAATCTCTCCATCTATAGCCTTTGTCAGCAGAGGTGGTGAGCTAAGGTAAGCCTTCAACTCATCAAATGTAGCTTGGCATTCTTGGTTCCACTCAAACTTTTTCTGTTTGCCAGATTCATCCTTCTGAGCTGTTGACCTCATGATCTTAAAGAATGGCAGGCACTTATCTGCTGACTTCGATATGAATCTATGAAGAGCTGTCACCCTTCCAGTTAATCTCTGTATATTTTTCACCGACTTCGGTGGTTCCATCTCAGCAATTACTCTGATTTTTTCTGGGTTGACCTCAATCCCTCTTCGGGAGACCATGAAGCCTATAAATTTCCCAAACTCCACACCGAAGATCTATTTAGTTGGGTTTAACCGCATTCTGTTCTTTTTAAGGTTGTTAAAAGTTTCATCGAGATTAGCTAGATGGTCTTCTGCTTTCAGGCTCTTTACCACAATGTCATCGATATACACTTCTAAATTCCTGCCGATTTGAGCTCGGAAGATAATGGTCACCATTTTCTGGTAGGTAGCACCTGCATTCTTTAAGCCAAATGGCATCATGACATAGCAATAAATTTCGTCACCAGTATAGAACAAGGTTTTCTCTTCATCCTCCGGAGCCATCGGCACCTGGTGATAACTAGAGTATGCATCCAAGAGACTTAATCTCTCATTTCCAGAAGTCTTTTCAACCAGTTTGTCAATGCTTGGCATCGTATAGCAGTCCTTGGGGCAAGCTTGGTTAAGATTTGTGTAGTCGATGCACATTTGCCATTTACCATTTGCCTTTTTTTACCAACACTAGGTTAGCCATGCATTCACAATAATCAACTCTTCTGACGAAACTAGCTTGTAGGAGCTTCTCTACTTCTTCCTTTATAACCTGATAAGAGACGTCACTTTTGGGCTACTGGTTTCTTCAATGGATTGGTGCTGAGCTTATGCTGGGTACTGAGGTTAGAATTCTTGGCATGTCTGCTGAAGTCTAAGCGAAGACATTGTTGTTAGCTTAGAGAAAAGCTATTAGTGCTGCTCTTTCCTTCGGGCTCAACCGAGTTCCAATTTATGTCTTTTTGCTTGGATCTTTATCGTCAATGTGCACTTCCTCAACATCTACGAGTGGAGCAACTCTGGTTTCATCCTCTGGTCGGTTATCTACTATCTTGACACCCATTTACTTACTAATTATTAGGAATTCGTTGGGGAATGGTTTCCGGCGTCTGATCTTTGTCTTTCTAAGGTCTTGTGACTGAGGTAATGTAGCAATGCCTGGTTGCCTTCTGGTTGCCTCGTAGTGTTGTTATCCCCATGGGAGTTGGGAACTTCATGCAAAGGTGAGATTGGGAAACCATAACTTGGATTTCGGTCAATGTGAGTTGGCCAATAACAACATTGAAAGAGGATGCCATTTTGACAACTAGAAACCAAACTGAAGAAGTAACATAAGTTTGGCCACTCCCAAAAGCAACATTGAGAGTAAGGACTCCTTCTACTTGAACGGGTTTGTTATTGAATCCATAGATAAGACCATCGTACCTATGCAACAAAGTTGGATCCAGCCCAAGACTCTCAAAGTAGTGAAAGTACATAATATCTGGTGCACTTCCTGTGTCAACAAGGACACGTTGTACCTCACAGTTGTTAATCATGACAGAAGTGACCAAAGGATCATTGTGAGGGGTGACAACTGTGTCGAAATCAGTAGAGGCAAAAGTGATGGGTTGATTCTTCCAACCAGCATCATCAAACTTTCTTTTCTAAGTTCGGTTTTGATGCTTCACCTCTCTAACGTACTACTTTCACTGCTTAGAGCTCAAACCTCCTGCTTCCAAGCCTCCCGTAATCATATGTATAATTCTAGTTAGTGGTGGGAGTGGAGGTGGGGCTTGTTGATATCCCATGCCTTGTTTGTTTCCTGCGTTACGGGATCCCTGCAGCTGTGCCCCCTGTTCTCTAACAAACTTCGGTTGCTCGATTCGTTGGATGTATTCATTCAGCATGCCCTTCTGAGCTAGACTTTCCAATTTGGACCTTAGACGATTGCATTGCTCTGTTGTATGACCATGATCTTGATGAAAATCACAGTATCTAGTATGATCACGTGTATCAGTAGAGCTTCTCATTGGTCCTGGTCACCTCAAATCCATCTTATTCTTGATCTGCATGAATATCTGTGACCTCAGCAGATTAAAAGGAGTCCATGTAACTGGTGTTTTACTGATATTTTGCTGAAGAGGTACGGAGTTCGGCTTTCCAAACTTCGATGGGGAAGTCATCATCGGACCTCGGTTCTGTACTGTCTTCATCCGTTTTCTGCTCTGACCCTCATCTCTCCAATCTAGGTTTTGATTTCTAGGAGGAACTGGTTTCTGGGATAAAGCATATTCCTTAATAGTTATGAATTTCAACGACCTGTCATTAACCTCATTGAAAGGAGTAGCAGGATGCTTGATTAAGCTATTTCTGAATCTTTCATGTTGGAGACCTTGAATTACAGTCGCAATTCCCACGGCTTGGTTGAAGGAGCTGACTTTGAGAACTCCATCATTGAACCTGCTCATGTAATTCTTCAAGGATTCTCCGTCCCTCTATTTGACTCGCATCAGTTTAGAAGTGGTTTTCCTAATCAACCTTCTGTTGGAAAACTTTGTGGCAAAAGTAGATGCCATTTCCGAATATGAGCTAATTGATATTGGGGACAAACTATAGTACCAGGTGCGGGCATTACCATGGAGAGTAAAGGGAAAGATCTTATACATGAACGCATCAAAGGCGTTATGAGCTTGCATACATGAATAGAAGGCATGGAGGTGATCATCGGGATCCTTTGTTCCATCGTATGTCTCGAGCTGAGGAATTTTGAAGCCAGTGGGATAAGGTTCCAATGTGATGTTGGTGTTCAGAGGATGAGCTATGGAGTCAGTATTATGGTGTAGAGGTGGGGCACCTCGCTGTTCAACTACCAGTTTTTCTAAGCTGTTCAGACATTAAGTGACATCATTAGGTAAGGGTTGTTGAGCTGGTGCTATGTGAGACTGACCTTGAGATTCACTAAGAGTAGGAGCATGCTGAACTAGTTGAGGGTCTTGCTGTGGAGCTGGGGGTTGTGGAGCAGGGTTGAGAAAATTGATGAGGGGATCGCCAGGATTATTTCGAGTTAGGAGTTGAGCCAATACTAATTGAAAGACACCAAATTGTTGTTGCATGGCAGCAAGCTGAGCTGTAACTACGTCTTGATTGGCGGTGGAAGCTGAGTTGCGAGTGGAGTTGTGAGGTTGGTTTTCATCTCCTCCTTTTGCATGATCAACAAGAGGGAACATATTTGGGATCTGAGGTGGGAGGTGAGGTGGAAGGTTGTTGGGGAGTTGACCTTGTCCAAGAGGCTGAGATGGATTTCCTGCTCGAACTGATCAAGTGTTAACCATGATAAGAGAGCAACAAGAGAGCTTTCAGTTCGATTTCCACAGACGGCGCCTATGTAATTGCACCAAACCAGAAGTCTTTCTTCAGTCCACGTCTTCATTTTGGATGAACCTACAAAACCCCGAGGTGGGTCTCGGGATAGACACTTCGATGCCTAAGTCAGCAATAATCAGATCAACCTTTTTAGAATAATTAAAGAGGAACTTGAGGTCGATTTCAATTACCTTTCTAAGGTGGCCCCTGGGGGGTATTTCTTTTGTGAGGTATCTATGTGGCTTGCTTAGCAAGATAATCGAGGTGTGACGTGTCTCTTAAGGAGATAAATTCGGGACCGGGAAATTGTGTTATATACTAGGTGCGGGCATGTTCACTGTATTTACCATGTAGTCATTTGACCGAAAATGTTGGATTTAATCTCACTTTGACTATTAAAAAATTGTTATAGTACATCTGAGGTTAAGGACCTCAGACTATCCTTACAATCTCTTTTAACATTTAAAAATATAATTATTATCTTAAAACAAATCCTAAATTAAAAACGTTTATTATTCTTAACCGAGCGACCAAATAGTTTCCGTATTATCAGGCCAATGATACACCCCACCAGTCTTTTTAATTATTAGCTCAAATATCCAAGTTAATGTCAGATATACCATACATTATTTGAGTACCAGGACCACTTGATGGATTCGCTTCTAAGTCCATTCGATGAATCTTAGTAGTTGAAAAACAACCAGTCTGTTCAATGGAAACCTCATATTTCTTTTATCTCTCTGTTATAGTCCTATATTTAAGTATTAATCTGAAGTTGCCCTAGAAAATTTTCAAATATGAAATAGCACACAAACGTTGAAAAAAAAACAAGAAAACAAAAAACAAAAGACCAACAGCACATGTACTGAAAAGAATCTTGCTGATTCTTCAACATATGCTTTAATTAAGAACAGTAACTTACCCAAAATGGACCTTAATAAAAAAAATTTTTCCATGTCAAACCTAGAGAAGAACTCCATGTTTTTGAAAAGAATCTTTGTCTGGCTTGACTAGTAGATGAATCATCACGCATCATCACATGCTGAACAACAATATCATGCATTAATTATTTTAATAATTTCATTCAAATCGCTTGGTTTTCTTTGGAATCCGATGCACAGAATTGTTTGTTTCTACCATTTGTCACTGTCATTTTTAGCACGTTTTTTGTCTCATTTACACTGGGCTTGTTTCTGGCATTTGTTTGGTTTGTTTTAAAATTGAAATGAATGGAATCTCAAGTGTCAACAAGCTTAAATAATGTAGAGATGTTGGGACTTTTGGCCACCTCAGCAGTGACGACGTTGTTAATCTTCTGAAGGAGACTCATCTTGATAATATCACTCACTACCTGCTCGCTGAATTGCTTGAAAGAGACGTAAGATTAGGGAAGGCATGAATGAAATCATGTCATGCGTTCACACTTTCCCTTTGCAATATAAAATTTGAACAGAAGGGGAAGCAAAAAACAAAATAAAATAAAATAAGAGGTAAGCACAAGGGTGAGAAAATGGAGCAAAATGGGAAAGAAACCATGGAGAAGAAAGATAAAGAATTAACGGTGCAAAATGGGAAAGAAGCTATGGAGAAGAGTGATAAGGAAGAAGAAATTAACTACGGAGGATGGAAAGTCATGCCCTTTATCATAGGTGAAATCTTGCTTTCTGTCTTCATGTTTTAATCTGTTTCTTGTTTTTCCCTTCTGAGGATCATGTTTTGATGGTGTTTTTCAGGGAATGAAACTTTTGAGAGGTTGGGAGCAATTGGAACATTAGCCAATCTTTTGATCTATCTCACCACAGTGTTTAACTTGAAGAGCATCACAGCTGCAACCATGATTAACATCTTCAATGGCACCACCAATTTTGGAACTTTGATTGGAGCTTTTCTGTGTGACACTTACTTTGGCCGCTATAAGACCCTTGGATTCGCTATATGTGCCTCGTTTGTGGTACCAAGATCATTGAACTTGATATATACAAATTTTATTTCTATTGTTTCATATAGATATGCAACTGATATGTGTGAGTGTGTGCGTGCTTTTTTTTTCTTTTTTTTTTTTCTTTTGATAAAGGGGTTGCTGACAATACAGCTAACAGCAGCTATACCGGAGCTGCATCCTTCTCACTGTGGAGCACAAGAAAGTAGCAGATGCAAGGGGCCAACAGCAGGCCAGATGGCATTTCTTCTAACCGGGTTAGGACTGGTGGCAGTAGGAGCTAGTGGGATTAGGCCATGTAACTTAGCATTTGGAGCCGACCAATTCAATCCAAAAATAGAATCCGGTAAGAGAGGAATCAACAGCTTTTTCAATTGGTACTTCTTCAACTTGACGTTTACCGTGATGGTGTCCTTGACCTTGATTGTATACATCCAATCCAATGTGAGTTGGGCAATTGGCTTAGCAATTCCAGCACTTTTAATGCTCATAGCTTGTGTAGTTTATTTCATGGGTTCAAAGACATACGTGAAAGTCAAAGCAACTGGTAGTCCAATGACTAGTGTGGCACAAGTCTTAATTGTTTCTATCAAGAAGAGGAAGTTAAACCCACCAGATCAACCTTCGCTCTCCCTTTTCAACTATATCCCTCCCAAGTCCATCAACTCCAAGC